TTCACAGAAATGTTCTCAGACTGAAAATAATGTAAAAATGAAGAAAGAGTAAAGGCCTTATCTGCCTTCACCTTGTTATGAAAAGGGTTAGTCGTTCTGATTGTCTTTATCAATGTTTTAGAAACCCTCATTGTCTGGTTTTTGTCCCGTAAATAAACACACAATTAGAAGCTGCCATTGTAGGTCTGAAGTACGACCCATACACACCCCAGCAGGTTTTGGGGGACATTGAAGTATCAGTTAAAGCTAAAACTCCAGGACCTAAACGTGCCTTACACCCATGCGACCATTTCACTGCTTCCATGGGATTTTTACCAACGATTTCAAAAGGCAGAGTTTAAAAGCCCCGGCAAGTAGGGAGCGGAGCTGACAGAGAGAAATTGTCCGGGCTTTCTGAGCTGGTTCAGCTGAGCCCAGGCACCCGGATTTGTCTGTGGTGGGGTCAGCCCTGTCTGCTGGTGCTTGGGGTACAGGAGGAGGCAGTCCCATTTGAAGGTGCATTTTGATGTGTAGAAGGCTGGGACTATGTCAGCCCAATGGTGTATTCTTGTCCTCTTTTGTAACCGAGATGATTAAAGACACTAACCTTGCTGTGTCCCAAGCACACAAGGCAATAAAACTTTACAATATGGAGTGTTCAGATTGTTTTGCGTTGCAGTGGGTGCTACCTGCTACAAAAGGAAAAGGGGATGCATACAAGAGATACACGCATTTCTTCACAGCTGTGATGCTGCACAAAGGTAGCGTAAAATCCTTTACTCTGTCTGAATTCCAAACTTCAGCTCTAACTCTCCAGGTGTGCCCTCTTCTTATTTTGGCAATTATTTTTTCCATTTTCCTATGACTCTTCCAAGTACAAAATCTACATGCAATGCAAATAGGGCTACAAGTGGATTTTACTGGTGATGAAAATTCCAAGTTGTCCTGATACCCCTTTCACATACAAAGTACTTATTTTCTAGTTTTAAAATGCAAGTATATCCAGAATTGCTTCCTGAGCATTTCCGTGTTAAAAAAATTATGGAAGACTTTTTAAGATTAATATTTAGTATCATTTTTGACAAGGAATACTTTTGAAACAACCTCTCCATCAGGACAGGCTGGCAAATAGTTTAGAATCACAGAATGATAAGGATTGGAAGGGACCTTAAAGATCATGTGTTTCCAACCCCCCTGCCATGAGCAGGGACACCTTCCACTAGACCAGGTTGCTCAGAGTTCCATCCAACCTGGCCTTGAACACTTCCAGGGAGGGGGCATCCACAGCTTCTCTGGGCAACATGTTCCAGTGTTTCACCACCCTCATGGTGAAGAATTTCTTCTTAATATCTAATATAAATCTGCCCTCTTTCAGCTTAGAACCATTTCCCCTTGTCCTATCACTACACACCCTTGTGAAAAGTCCCTCTCCAATTTAGTTCTTTGCTGTCACCAAAGAAACCCAAACCAAAACCTAAAAAACCCTTTCCACTTACATAGACCTCTCGTTCTGTGATCTCAGTCCCTGAGGAAAGCGCTGCCTCTACTCATTGTAAAGCTTCTTCCTTCCTTGCAGGCATGTGAGCTGGGCAGGGAGAAGGGGTGTTTCCAGCTGCATTCCCCTCTACTTCCAGCCCTCTTCTCCAGTGAGATTTGTATCATCTCTTGAGCTGTGCCATGCTGTGATACAACCCCAAGACCAGGTTTTTGGAGCCCAAGGACTCAATTTTTTCATTTACAATCTGAACCAGACACATCCTTGTTAGTGGCCAACAGTATTACATCAAGGTGTAGGTGAGACAAAATCTTTTTCCCTAGCTGCAGTTATTACTTTCTCCCTTAATGCTAATTATTTTAGAATATATTCTTTTCTATTAAAACTGGAAAAGAAAGTCTCTGGGAAACGAACACAGCAATAATTTACGTTGTGTGCTGAGTAATTATAATCTCTGGCCATTAGGAAAGCCAATTCAATTTCATAAGTAGGTAAGTAGGTATTGATTTACTCAATTTGAAAAAAAATAAATAAAAAAGAAGGAAGAGGTAGAGAATTGCTATAGCCAGTGTGTGATTTGCTCAGGTTTTGGATCTGGTGTATGACATCTGTTTCCTATTTCTGATTCACTGGCGGGTCAGTTAACTAGAGAATACAGTTATTTGTTAACCCAGCTGGTGTATATCACTTTTGGAGAAATAAAAGAACATTTTTCTTTAACATGATGATTAATAAATACAAATTTTACTGTAGGGAGGTTGATCTAGAGAATATATAAGTCTCTGCAAGAATGCTACTAACTATTATTCTATTAAAAACAAGATGAGGGAATTTTTGTAACTGTTTGGATTGTTCTTCAGTATTCTATATGGCTAATTATGCACTACAGGAGTAAGCTGTAACGTTAACTGATAATATGTTACATGAAAGGTTGCTGATATAAAAAAGCATATACCCTATATTTCAGGTACTGTGAATAAACAGGAATTTTGAAGGTAGACATGGAGGGTATATAAAAATACAGCACAAAAGACCTGTTCAAAAATTTTGTATTCTAGCACTTTCCAGTGTTGAGAGTTGCTAGGATTAATAGCCTTGCTTAGCACTAGAAGCTGAAGTAGTTGAAGCCTTAGACTGCAAGGTCTGACTGGGAGTAAATTTTTTGATAAAACTGATGCTGCAAACACAGAACTAGTTGAAACCGGCAGATGCAAGCAGAATGAAGAAGAAAAGGAAACAATTCCAAGAGAAGAAGGTAGCTTCAGAAGGCAGCCAGCCCAGCAACCAAGAAAACCAATAACAAATCAAGAGAACACTGACGAGGATTAGGTGCCTGGACTTGGGAATCAAGTGATGGGTGGTACGGGTGTAATTGGTGGGGCATGATCTGTAGTAGTGGTCCCTCTTTGGAGGCACCCATCTCGAGCTGTGCTGCACGTCAGATAAATAAACCACTTCTTTACTCAGCAGACTGGAGAATCATCTTCCTCAAGCAGGAACCTAGGGCCCGAGTCCTGTTGAGATGGAATCCTCATAGTTCCTACCATGGTCTAGGTGGCAGTGTCATAATTCCTGCTACACCAGGATGATGTATTTGAACACTGCTGTCTTACTACTGCTGGGTGATGTCGTCTGGGCAGAGTGGATTTAAGAATACAAAGAAAACCGCTTTGAACTGAATAGCAAAGAATATTACAAAACATGAAAGATGGAAGAATATGCTGTCATACGATTTTGTTTACACTATTTGCTTTATTAATTTTGAATGTCCATCCTTCTGTGGGATGAAACAGTTATGTTTGCTGTTCTTACTGAGCCTAAATCCTACTACTTTAACGTCTGGTGAAAAGCACAAGTACACAAAATTTTACACAGTGCGTGTTTTTCAGAAACTTTGGTCTCAGCACTGATGGAAAAATAATGGATGAGTTAGAATCAGATACGATTAAATGTATGTGCAGTTATAAATGCTATGTTTATATTTTGGGTCCCTAATTTTGCCTTATCATTCATATTGGGATTGGAAGAAGCAATCTTAAACAACATTTTCTTTTCTGTTAAGAGTTTCATGAGCCTCTAAACAATATCACATACTGAAAGAGCCTTTTAAAAAATACAAATCCCCCTAAATTTCTGTGAAAGGTAAGTTAGGAAAGCACGCAGCATGGAGCATACAAATTCAGGAAAGACAAAAAGAGTGCTGAAGTATTCCTGAGCTGGGAGGTCAAAGAGCACCATCAAGCTGCTATAATTCAGGCAACAGAGCTGCCCTGTGATAGTTGCAACTTGAACAGGGGTCTTTTATTTCAGGACAACATAACTGAATTTACCTTTTACATGACTGATAATAACCACAGACAAATTCTTCTGATGATTATTACTGTCAAAATATGAGCACTTTTAGTATATGATATTTTCTAGAGTCCCTTTCTAAACATTCACATTTTCCCTTAGAAAAAAACCTGGAGATTGGAATACAAATATAAACCTTAAAAGGTTTATTAATCTTTTAAGGTATTGGACATATACAGAGGCCCAGAATATGCAAACTGTTTCAGAGTTTGCACCAAGGCCCTTGGAGAGAAGATCTCTGAACTCCTCCATCTGAAGCTGCTGAAGAACAGACGATCCCTCTTCTCACTGAATATCTGAAATCCAACTTGAGAAGTCCCCATCAGCCTTCAACCTGAAATTAACATTGATGAGTGGATGTAAGATTGAAAAGAGACCTGGTATCTGTCTCTGTCCCACCAAACAACATGCAGTCAGTACTGGAAAGTTTCGCTTCAGTGATTCTGTGGTCTCTTTATGATGTAATTGTGTTCAGAAGTCCACAGAATAGGCTTCGAATTCAGGATTATTCAGATACAGTTTCAGCGAATTCTGGGTTTTTCAGATACAGTTTGAGAGAAGGTGATACTGGCTTTGATCTGCATCTGCAGCAGCTTCGAATTACCCAAGAATGTGATGGTGTGATTCAGAACGCCTGCAGTCTGAGACTGAAAGACCTTAGGGCGGATTAGTAGCTATATGATAAACTCTATTAGTTTACTATATCAGTCCACAGTGCCTAGCTACTTAGATTTTAAGTTTTAATACAAAGAAGAGACATAAATACAGGAAAGGATGGATAGGTATTAAATACTATTCATCTTCGCTTTGTGTTTTTACTTACAACAGGAATATTCTCAACCCAAAGCAGTTATAGGGAGAAGCAATGCAAGTCACTGTAAAAATCACATGCACAGCAGATATATTAAGAAAAATGCTGAAGATAAATAACTTTTAGAAGCCAATTCTGTATTGCATTAATCACTAAGCTACTGGTAACATCTTATTAAGATAAATGTCACTTGTTACTACATGCATTCTGTGCACTGTAGAAAACTCTCACTTCTGCTACAAACAAGAGAAGAATGAGCACCATCAAGTAGTACATGTTGTTATAGCTGTTACAAAGATCTATGTAGATAAGTTTCCATTGGTAACAATCTTCATTCTTAACTGACTATAACTACAGAAGCCTTTTTCCCCTTCAATTTACAATGCACACAGCATGAACATACTTAAAAATAACAGTGGTGTGTTGCACAAGAAATATACACACCACAGTCCTAAAAGAAAACTGTATTAGAACTATAAATTAAGGAAATTTTGTCACCTAATAAGAAAGCACAATAAAAAAACCTTGGCTACAGCAATTCTTGAGTTGCCAACATAAGATATACTTTCCCTGACACATGAAAATTGAGAACAATATTTTATCAAAATTAAAAGTAAGCGTCACTTAAAGACTGTAAATTAATGAAGCAATTAAACATGTTTTTATCAGTCTTTGATTGCAAAGCCCTTTTACTGAAAAGGTGGGTGGCTCTTAAAAGAGCCTTTGGGTTAAAAGGGGCGGTCCGAGATGCTCTACTTGGAGCTGGTGTACTTGGTGACAGCCTTGGTGCCCTCGGAGACGGCGTGCTTGGCCAGCTCGCCGGGCAGCAGCAGCCGCACGGCCGTCTGGATCTCCCGCGAGGTGATGGTCGAGCGCTTGTTGTAGTGCGCCAGGCGCGAGGCCTCGCCGGCGATGCGCTCGAAGATGTCGTTGACGAACGAGTTCATGATGCCCATGGCCTTGGACGAGATGCCCGTGTCCGGGTGCACCTGCTTCAGCACCTTGTACACGTAGATCGAGTAGCTCTCCTTCCTTGCTCTCTTGCGCTTCTTGTCGCCCTTCTTCTGCGTCTTGGTCACCGCCTTCTTGGAGCCCTTCTTGGGCGCGGGGGCAGACTTCGCCGGCTCAGGCATTTCTGCGAAAGCGCCGCTCTCACAGAGCACAACCTCTTCTCCGCCAACGCCGCGGGAAGCGAGTAAGGCGAAACAGCCGAACCACTCGTATTTATAGCGTTCCTATGCAAATAGGTAGAATGCTCTCTGCGTACTGTAATTGGTCAGAAGAAAACAGACGTCATAAAACTCAGACAGCAGCTTTTTATTGGTCGGAATTCGATTCCCCGTCTCATTGGCTGCCGAGAAGAGAGCTAATTCTCAGCCTATCAGCGAAGGGGCGAGATTGGAGAGCGAGGCTGCGGCGGGCCGGGGCGCTGCTCCCTAAAAAGCCGTTCTTCCACAGCTCAGTATTTTTCCGTTTGCGGAAACCCTTCATATGTTACTGATTTTTAAATTTTTCAGACGTGGTGTGAGTTAATAATTATGACTTCATTTTGAAAAAATTTTGTCCCCAGACTGTGACATTTTTCTCTTTTCTCTTTTTTTTATGTGTGTGTCTGTGTATATTTCCGTGCAGAGTTAAAATGTGGATAGAATTTATCTGGAAAATATACGAATTTGTATTTAAATACGTTAAAAAATTACAGAAATAAACAGAATATAAAAAGAGAGCACATGGGAAAAAAAAAGATGACCATTGAGAAAACAATGGATTGGAAGCAATAATGCAAAACGGGATATTAAAACAACATAAATTTAATCAAAGAATGGAAAAGATCCACCTCTTAGTCCCTATCAATACTACATGAACACATCAGCTGCACTAAGGACACGAGGGCAGAGGATGAGAACAGGAATCAAAGACTGTTACCGAAGCTTTAGACCCAACAGGGCAGCCAGCGCAGAGACCACGTTTCACTGCGCCGTCCCCCCGGGCACTCGGGGAGGGGAGGACAGCAGGCAGAGAGCTGCGGTGGTTTTCCGATGCCAGGAAGCGAGTCCAGGGTTTGGGAGGGGGTCGGAGGGCGCCGGGGTGCCCCGGTGTTGGAAAGCGGCGAGATCTTCCGGCGGG